AACCCTTCCAATGTAAGTTAAATATTAATATAATAGACTAATTAGATATTATATGTTTTTTTAGAAGAACAAAGTGTTGCACATTTTATTGGTGCAAAGATGAGTAGTGGTGCCATTTATTTTGTACAACATTTGCAACTGCTTTTTATCACTTAATTAGAAGCACCAAAAATTAAGTTATAGGGGATACTGAACAGACATTTAGAAGTTGATTTTAAAATGCAAAGTATTTAAAATAAAATAAAGCTATGTAAACACTTGCATTTTTTACAACACTATAAGTGTGTCCCTTCAAGTAATGAAAAGTTTGACACACACTTGTGGTTAGTGGTTGAACGGATCATAGTTGATCCGTGATCCGTACAGACCATGCCTCACGGTTAGGCACGTATGTGATCCGTGGATTCATTGCAAAATTGAACCATAATAGAGTGAAAGTTTATCAATTGTACGTGTTTACACATGCAAGCGATTGTAAACCATTCCAGCGAAATGGAACTTGATTCATTAATCATTGTGTAGAGTATTTATAAATTACTTTTGTTTTTGAATTTACTTTACTTGACAAAATAGTGTATAATTTTACTATCAGCCATTTATTTCAGATAATGTTGTGTTGTCATCAGCCAATATATAAAGTCAACATCTTGGTCAATTTTAGTATCTAATAGACTTGCTTTGAAAAAAAGGGACCAAAGAGATTCAATAATGGGCTGTTTTAACTTATGCCAGTAAGCAACCACCTAGTAACACCCTAACAACCACCCACTTGGAGCCAATTTTGCACAAGCACACAGAGTAACAAATCTAAGCACTGAAACTCAAGTTATTTAAAATAATTTTACCATGGCACTAGACAATATTATTACAGATAAAAACTGAAATATGCTATTTATATAAATATTCAGTACCTGGGTTGTAGAAGCTCTTCGGTTACACAGATGAAATACAATTGCTCTAATGAGGACAAGATTGCTTTATAATTGGTCTCTACCTGTGAATCATTAAAATCGCTTGCGCAAATTCTTGATCAAAAACTCCCACAGTTATGGGAGCATTATTCAGTCTTTGAATTAAATTATACAGGTGAAAATAATGACTAAAGAGCATATGTAAAACAAATGCATAAATTGTCAAAAGAATACATAACAATTGAAAATAATGCCAGTGGTTGGTTGTCCCAGTGGGCATTGTTGATTCAAGAGGTGGAAGCTACATCAAACCAGGCAAGCACTGTCTAGACACGGTTCTTCCACAAAATGTTCTGCACAAGCAAGCAGGAGACTTGTGATGGAAGCTACAGAGAGGCAAACAAACACTTTGAAGGGGCTGCAGAGTTCTGGAGCTGAAGGTGCACCCGACAACATATCAAGAGCCCTGGACAACACTGGCCCATACAGGAGTGTGACACAAAAGAGGACAGTGTTCAAAAAGAACCATGTCGCAGCACTTCTGGAGTTTGCCAAAAGGCTTGACACACGGCACTGTTGCTCATAGGGGGAATGTGGAAAAGATTTCATAGTCAGATGAGACTAACAGAGAACCATGTTTAGCTTTAAAGTTATCAAACCAGGCAAGCACTGTCTAGACACGGTTCTTCCACAAAATGTTCTGCACAAGCAAGCAGGAGACTTGTGATGGAAGCTACAGAGAGGCAAACAAACACTTTGAAGGGGCTGCAGAGTTCTGGAGCTGAAGGTGCACCCGACAACATATCAAGAGCCCTGGACAACACTGGTCCATACAGGAGTGTGACACAAAAGAGGACAGTGTTCAAAAAGAACCATGTAGCAGCACTTCTGGAGTTTGCCAAAAGGCTTGACACACGGCACTGTTGCTCATAGGGGGAATGTGGAAAAGATTTCATAGTCAGATGAGACTAACAGAGAACCATGTTTAGCTTTAAAGTGACATGTATACTACAAATTTAGCATTGGCCAAGTATATGCTGTTAAAATCGAAGGAAGAATAGCTGATGCAAAATACAGGAAAATTGTGCAAAGTTACGTGTTTCGGTCTGCAAAAAAATGAGTCTTTCGACAAAGCTGTTTTTTTTACCAAAACAAAGGTTCCAGATGCAAGGCCAGATGAACGCTCAAAAGCATAAAATGTCCTGTAATGGCCTTGGCAATTGAGAATAGGTTTGACAGGTTGAGGTTGTTTAGGTGTCATCTTACTAACTTTAACAGCCTGGAGCAAATCTGCCTGGAAGAATGGATAAAAGGATGCCAGAACCACAGCGAAGCCAGTATGTACGCGAGGGAAAAGACTGAGCTGTCAAAATAATATTATCATTAATGTATTTAGGGCAAAAATATATTTACTTAAAGCACATTTTTATATGGAAATTCATAATACCAAAAGACTTTTTTAAATTTGTTAAAATATAATGGATTAAATTTAGCTACCAAAACAAAGGTTCCAGATGCAAGGCCAGATGAACGCTCAAAAGCATAAAATGTCCTGTAATGGCCTTGGCAATTGAGAATAGGTTTGACAGGTTGAGGTTGTTTAGGTGTCATCTTACTAACAGCCTGGAGCAAATCTGCCTGGAAGAATGGATAAAAGGATGCCAGAACCACAGCGAAGCCAGTATGTACGCGAGGGAAAAGACTGAGCTGTCAAAATAATATTATCATTAATGTATTTAGGGCAAAAATATATTTACTTAAAGCACATTTTTATATGGAAATTCATAATACCAAAAGACTTTTTTAAATTTGTTAAAATATAATGGATTAAATTTAGCAAGGCACTGAATTTCTGTGGTAGAGTGTGGTGATAAGTGGTTGGTCTATCATACACACACTTTATCACAGACTCACACTCTTTATGTCTAATTGAAGCTTGGCTAGTAAAGGTCAACAGTTCTATGCTTTCTCTTCGCTGATAGTTTTCATTGTTGGTCGGCTGCCCCTTCTGAACTACTGACAACACTCAGTACAAGAGCTATACCTTCTCCTCAATTCACTTCCTCTCGCTTCCACGCTCACTCTCTATTTCTCCATCCCTCTCTTACTCAGACAATAGTTGCTGATTGAAAATGTCCTCACTATATTATCCGAGCGTATGACTGAGTCTACCTGGCTTTTTACAGAGAGCAATGCACCCTTGACAATGGCACAGTCCCACAGATGCTTCAGACAGTCTCTTATAAAGCCCCTATATTTGTGTGTTTGCTTTTACATTTCATATTTTAGGTAAACGCTGAATTACAGATAGAACAGAGGAAGATTTGTTCTATTGAGTGAATATAGCAAAAAAGAAGGAAACCTTATTTTACATTCAACTGCTTTTTTTCATGTATACTGTATTTGTCATACCAAAAGAAGGATTTAAAAAAAGTATATATTATACATATTAGTAAATTAAATTATAAACTGTAAATTATTATTAAATAATTTAATTGAAATATATGTATTATTTATTTATTATTGTAATTGTTCCATTTTCTATAATATGTAATGTAGCGTCTGGAACACTCCAACACACAATATATATTTTGTTAGCTAGATTTCACAAATACTTTGTAACACCCCAGGACGCCGAACAAGACCCTGGTTTCATGGTAACCCGATACATTTACAACCTTGTGGAATGCGAGCCGGCTCTCATTCTGCTTTCTCCAGAAACAAAGGGACACAAATGCACAGGAGAAATGGACTTTTCTACTAATTAATTCATAGGAAAACCTTCTTTGAATGAACACCCATTTTCTTCAGGCCAGTGTGTATATTATTGCTGTGTTGTATTTTCTATAATATGTAAGGATAATTTAATTGTAATATATTTATTTCTTTTTTATTGCGATTTGTATTTTCTTTTCTATAATATATATTTAGTGCTGGGCAATGGATAATCATGATTAATCGCATCCAAAATAACAGTTTTTGTTTATATAATATGTGTGTGCGTACTGTGTATATTTATTATTTATATATAGAGACACAAATATTTGCATGTATATATTTATATTCATATAATTTACATTATTTATATATGAACATTTTTCTTAAATATATATACATGCATGTGTGTGTATTTATATATACATAATAAATATATACAGCACACACATTATATGTATTTTTATGTGATTAATCATGATTAATCATTCGCCAGTACTATATATATTATATATTAATTTATATATATATATATGCATATACATAACTGTACTTTAGACTAGACTAGCATGCGGCTAACTCTCATGAAATAATATCATAACAGTCAGGTTATTCTGTAAATAGTTTTGGTTTAATTCTGAATCAGCCCAGATGATAGGTGTCACAACCTATCGGTGTAAAAGTGGGCACTTCTGCAGTGTTAGCACACACGCTCACATGCTTTTTGATTTGTTTTGTGTTGTGTGCGTGTGTGCACTTGCTGTGTCAGTGTAAAGATTAATATTTGGAGGTTACAGTGCCAAGGCCCTTAATGCTTACCCACGCTCAGGGTTCAACACACAACAGACGTCCTCTCACACAAGCCTTTTTCTCCAAACCTGCTGAAAAGCACACTTTCCTGCCAAGCTGATTTATTCTCTGTCACTGGATGTGTGTGTGTGTAAAGTGTTGTGTAAGCAGCAGTGCGAGCACATGTGTGATGTGTTTGTGACCGTGAGCGGTGTGGTGTTCCTCCTGTCTGCCATGGGTCCCACAGGCCTCCTTGTGTCTCTAGAGTCCCTCTATGTGAAAGCCAGTGGCCTGAGGTTAACTGCCTGCACCACTCAGCTGTTTTTACGATCGGCCCTCCAAATGCTACAAAACACCCGTGGCTTTGTGTAGAGGTGCAGAGGAGATGTATAGAGGAGTTTAAGAGCCTGTCTGCCTCTCAAATTGTCCGAGTCGACTCTGTGATATACCGTCCACAGAAGGCCGCTTTAGTGGGGGTTTTTTCTCTTAGCATTCCTGCAGAGGCCCTTAAGGCCGGTTTAAGTGACGCTATGGAATGACCCTCCGCATCCTAATGTTTTTCTCTTCTTTCTTCCTCTCCTGTAGAGAACGATGAGACCGGTGTGATGGATTGTCTGCTGGAGGCGCTGCAGTCTGGAGCTGCTTTCAGAGACCGCAGGAAAAGAGCACCCAGACCCCGAGGTGAGTCTTCTCACACTCCTACACTCACATCCTTCATCAGTTGATGAGTTATCTCTTTCTTTCTTTCTTTCTTTCTCTTATTTTTTCCATACCTTTACTAGTTTTCTGCCTATTTGTTTGTATATTAGTTAAGTAGCTTTGTTATAAGTGCAGTAATGTACAGTAAGCCAGCCACATCACAAAATAAACCACTAGTATCCCGACAAAGAGTGGAGGGATAACTGTGTATTTTCCCTTATATATAGTAGCAGCCTAAAGCACCCAGTGGTTGAGAGTCTCTTTCTCCTGCGCAGTGAGGGGTGAGATAAGCTAGTGTGTCTTCTGTGCTCTTCATGTTGTGTGTCCTACCCAGCTGAGAGGCTCAGGTTTGTTGACTGCAGACAGCTACAGACAGATGGTGGGTGGCATATATCAGTATAGCCTGACCAAAAACTCTAGAGTTTTCCTTTCAAAAGTCTGGGTTATTTTTGTGTCTTTGAAGCTCTCTTATGCTCACCAAGGGAGCAAAAATATAGTAAAAACACTGATATTAAATATTATTACAATTTAATTATTAAAATGTTTCTATATAGTTTAAAGTGTAATTTATTCCTGCAATGATAAAGCTGTATTTTCAGCAGCCATTTCTCTAGTCTTCAGTGTCACATGATACTTAAGAAATCATTATAAGATGCTGATTTGTTGCTGAAGTAACATTTACTGTTATTATCAGTGTTGAAAACAGTTGGGCTGCTTAATATTTTTGTGGAAACCATTTTTTTTTCCCAGGAGTCTTTGATTAATAGCAAGTTCAAATTTTTCTAAAATTAAAGTCTCTTTACTGTCATGTTGATGCATTTAATGCGTCCCTGCTGAATAAAAATATTAATTCCTTATATAAGTAACCTCCTTACCCCACACTTTTAAACAAAATTATGTATGTACTGTCTAATTTATATTTTTAATCCTGCAGATTATTTAGGATTAAACCATTATAAACCATTATATTGTCCTTTGAACAGTTAAACTGCCTGCCGTTCTTCAGAAAAATACTTCAAGTCCCACAAATTATTTGGTTTTCGAGCATGCGTATTTGAACCCTTTCCTGCAATGACTGAATGATTTTGAGATCCATCTTTTCACACTGAGGACACCTGAGGGACTCGTACGCAACTATTACAAAATGTTCAAATGCTCACTGATGCTCCAGAAGGAAACATGAAGAATTTGTGGGACCTAAAGGACTTTTTGAAGAACAGGGGGCAATTTAACTGTTCAGGACAAACAAGGGACTCATGAACAACTATATCCAAAGAAAAAACACCGCTGTGGATCATCCAGCTAATAACACAGTATTAAGAATCAAGCGTATGTAAACTTTTGAACGGGGTCATTTTTACTTTTTTTTTGTTTTGTTTGTGAACTATATGTAAATGCATTTCATGTGAAATCTTATTCAGGTTGTTACTAAATAAAAAATGGCATGCATTTTTGTATGATCCCTCTTGTTTTGGTAAAATAATGAACATTTGGCAGATTCTGTGTATGTAAAATTTTGACCACAACTATATAGTCTATTGTTCTGTAAATGCACAATTTACAGTCTGTAGCTCCTTTTAAAAATCTTTTTCTATAGAAATCAGTAGAGAATCAGCCCCCTACTATGAGCACACTTTCTCTGGTATTACGTGAGGCAATGGAGTATAATACAGCTTACCACCTTCCACAGAAATCAGGAGAGCCAAACAAACTGACTGGCCAAATCAGAAAGACCTGTTAAACGCTTCAAGAAATCTAAACTTTTTTTAAAGCACGTCATGTCTTTCATTACTCTAGGAAGTAAAAATCGAATGTATGGTGACCGCAGGTGTGTTTATGTGTGAGCAACTCTCACTCTCTTGTCCCGTGTCCTGATTTCCACAGATGAACCAACACAAGTGCTCAATCCGAGTCTACAAAGACCTGTTCTGAAAGACTACAACCACGGTAAAATCGGAAGAGTTAAAAAAGAGAGAGAAATATAGCATTTCTCTCCACTATTTTCTTTCCTTTTTTCTCTCTTTGCTATTAACTGCATTATTATTGCTCACTAACCCTGATCTACCAGCCCCGTGTCCTGAATGTCTTTTCTGTTTGGGTTAACGTCTGTGTTGCCCTGTCTCAATCATGTGTCACTCTTTTTATTGATTTTTTTCACTTTCGTATACACACTAATGGTCAATAGTAGGTTCAGATAGGGCCAATTACTTATTTGAATGGCACATAACAGTCCCTCAAGGCCTCTCCTATCAAAAGGGAACTGCTGCTTAAGCTGCTGGTCATAAACACGACAGGTGTTATAATGTGATACGGGTTCAGCAATAGCTTCAGACTGCTTCTGACCGCAGATGTTCCTTTTCCACTGAAACAATGTTGGTGTTGGTGCTCGGCTTGCAGATACTGTGTGTTAGTGTGTCTCCACTGCCTTGAGAGGCAAACAATTATATAACTGGCTGTTCCTTTTATAAGCTGCTCACAAACAAACAGTGCATCATGGTGAAATGGTGCAGCAGTGAAAATACAGATTTGGTTTAGCTAATAGATTTCTGGCCACTGATGTTAACAGTTCTTGGTTCAAGACCAGTGTGGAGCCATTTCTTTTTAAATTTAGAATTTTTTTTAAATGTAAATGCACAGAATGTAATGGGCTTTAGCTGTTGCAGCACCATCACCTCTACATTGTTGGTGGAAAAGTGGTAAGAAAAAATTATTCTTAAAGTTTCCATATATGAGTGTCTTATTTCCTCTTGTGTCCTTCTCATTGCATGAATCAGTATTTTCTGTCTGCTTGCACGTACATTGTGTTGTGTCTTATTTCAGTCAAGCGTGCTTACAGCTCACAGCTCATGTCTGGTTGTGATTGGACAGTTGATGTAAGTGTCAGAGTCAGCAGGGTTATAATCAATGTCATGCGCTCGCTTTAGCTGCCGTTACCGCCAGGTGTTAATGTGTCATCCAGACACTCGCTGGGAGTCGAAAATGCTACATTTCCAGCCAAACTGAACACCCAGAAATAGTGGGAACGTTTTTTTGCTGAAAAAGCTTTTCCGCTATTGTCTGTTGACATAGCCGTCACAAAATTGCAACATGTTGCGCTCTGATGAGCCGTTCCTTTTGACATGACAAGCATTAAAGTAACAATCCAGTTTTTCTGTAATGAATGAGATCAGCGTTCATCAGTTGATATGTAGTAGGAATCAGAAAAGCTTGTAGCAAACTTTCATCTGTACTTGTTTTTGTGTTCCTATACTCTTTATACTTAAGGTTTCAAAAGGGAGCTTTTACAGCAGTGCCATAGAATAACTATTTTGGGTTCAAAAAAAAAAAAAATCCACTAGAAAGAGCCTTTTGTGCAGTGAAAAGGTTTGTCTGTTCCACCTCTCAGATCTTCAGTTTGCCAGTGTTACGTACAGTAGTGATCATTCTATTATGCATCAGCAACATAAAACAAACAGATGTGACTGTCTTGTCAAAGGTTACTTCATAATCATTATCGAGGCACTTAAAAAATTAAGCTGTAACCCTATTAGCGGTTATTGGTTTTAATAGGAGTCCCTGCAAGCATACATGAAATACAATTACTCCTAGATCTCCTCCCACACCCACCCAGAGCACTGATAAAGTCTGCTCTCGCTCCCACTAGTGTTCTCTTACGACTTATCTCAAATTAGATTGTGCGCAGAAAAGAGAGAGTGAATAGACAGATAGAAAGATGTGTGCATATGCGCGATCCATCATAAGAAAGACTGCCGCAGCTCACATTAACTCCCCTCATATGTCTCTCAGCAAAAAGTAATGAAGGACACAGGGCATTCTGGGATATCGAGTGTGGCGCCCTCCCCTCCCGTGGTCCTCTGAGGCATTGGAAGTCATGTGGGAGTCTGGCTACGGGGCAGGGCACTGTTGCCCTTGTCCCTGTGTTTTATTCCAGGCTAGGCTGACTAATGGAGCCCCAGGCTTGTGTATGTTCATGCAGGCCTCTGCAGTTCAGCAAGCCTCTCTGTTGGCCAGGCTAATTAGTTCTCATCTCACACCAGGCTTTAGTCCCATTCATCTTCATTTCGGCTGTGCCATCTGCTTTTTAAATAAAACTCTAAAGTGTCTCGTGTTGCACACACTTTGTCCTCTTGATGCCTCCCAGCCTAAATGTAACGCTTTATTCTTACTGAGGTGGGTGTCTGATGAGCTTGTCTGTCTCTGGAGAGTTCTGTCCCTTTATTTATTTATATATTCAGACTTACAGTGAACTTGAAATGGCCTTTGCAAAGTATTTGTTTCACATTTCTTGATAAAAAAACAATGTAAATAAGAAAAAAATATAGGGCTTGATTTTATTCATTGAAACTGATTGGACTAGGGATGGATGGTATATCATATCAGTTATCAGACAATATTTTGTATGAGTTTTAATTAATTAATTTAATTTTATTTCAATTGCTTTATTTTAACACCAGGAACATGAATTAGGAAAATAAAAAGGGTCCATTTTAATTCCATGCTGACTTTAAATGTGGTGTCTCTGACTATTTGTTTAATTACATACAGTATATATTAAAATTTTTGAATTTGGATTGTGCTACACTCTTAAAAATAAAGGTGCTTCAAAAGGTTCTTCAAGCGATGCCATAGAAGAACCATTTTTGGTTCCACAATGAACCATTCAGTCAAAGGTTCTTTAAAGAACCATCTCTTTCTTACCTTTTTATAATCTGAAGAACCTTCTTTCGCCACAAAGAACCTTTTGTGAAACAGAAAGGTTCTTCAGATGTTAAAGGTTCTTTATGGAACCATTTAGACAAAAAGGGTTTTCTATGGCATTGTGAAGCACCTTTATTTTTAAGAGTGTAATTTTCCTTCTTTTTACATTTAGATTACGTTTGCGACACCTAACGTTCACTTAGTTAATGTTTAAAAACAATAATGATTTAATTACACCGTTAAATCTAATCTTTATTTAATAATAATGCTGTACATTATAGTGTTGTGATGCTTAAATTCACTCGTAGCTTTTAAAATGATTGATTTTAGTTTTTAATGTTTTATTTTATATTTGTTTCCATCATCTATTATATACTTTTTTATAATTTTAATAGTGGCCATTTATCTTTTTTTTTTTTTTTTTTGCCATAACATTATGAAAATAATTATCAGATTTTTTGTATCAGTTGAATTTTAATATCTGTGCATTCTTAATTTCAACGCTACCCACTTAAGTTAAAGATCAATTTGACTCTCCAGAGCATCTCCACATATCCCAGTAGTAACTCTTCTTTCTAACATCTAGCATTATTTGCTTTTATTGCTGTAACCTTTATTGAAGTAATTATCAATATTTTACAAAGGCTGCATGACCTTTAAAGTGGCCTAAAACAATGACGGTAAAGCTACATTTGGCTATTTGTTAGTATAATTTTTCACATAGCCTTGGTGACCTCAGCTGAAAGTCATTTCAGAGGCAGAGCAAGTTATATTTATTATTTAAAAGTTCACAAAAACATTTATATCTCTATAGTAATATACACTGATGAATTATTCACATTAAGACCACAAAAGTGTATTTAAGTAAACAAACAGGGTTCATTTTGACTTAATGTTGTCTTCAGAGCTTGTTATTTACACAGAGTTTGTCTCTCTGAAGAGTTTTGTCAAATAGGAGACATTGTGTTTGTGTGGCAGCCTCATTCATTTATACAGTATAGGCAACCTTAACATCTGTGTATTGTTGAGTTGGTTCCCTTCTTTCATGGCAAGTGGATATAAATCTGAATTAGATATTCTGTCTCTCTGCAATATGTTTTTGACTGTTAGCTGATTGACAGTGTAATGAGTGCAGTGGGAAAAGACCAGTGGCTGAGCGACCGAACACATGCTGGAGTATGTCAGCCCCGTCCCGGTCCCCTCTGCCACTGCGCAGTGTAAATACCCCTCAGTAATTGATCTCCAGGGCTTTAGTGTTTCACACTCCAGCGGAGCAGCAAAGTGAATTAAAATCAGACACATCTGCAACAGGAGACACCGTAATTAGCCACAAAAAATAAACTGGTCAGGCTGGTGTGTGTAGCCATTAGAGCAGTGGGAAGAACATGGATGCATGTGTGTGTCTGAGCGTAAGCCAGTCAGAATTGTCAGATGCAGGCTGGAGCAATGAGACTTGAGATTGCATTTTCCTGCAAGGCTTTTGGGAGATTCCCTTTACACGAGCGGGCAGCCGCTTTAAGAGTCTGACTTTCTCAAATCAAGTAATCTATGGAGATTCAGGTCCCTAGACTTATGCCTTTGGCCGTCTATTACTCTCTTGGACTCAGAGGTGTAAATGCTGAGGTAAGAACACACACTCATGGATCCTTACACTGCCTTTTTTGTGCACGTTTGTGTGCTGTGGTCAAGATTGAGGGGTAAAAGCTCTCCGACTCATTTTAGGAGTCTCTAAAGAGTCTCTCGTCTCTCTCTCCCTCTTTCTCTCTCTTCATCTGAGCCTGAAGCAACACTTAAAGCCTTTAAGTGTGACCGGAACCCCACATCCCTCCTCAGGATGAAGATAAAGATGCTTTATGACTTGAGTGACCAGGGTTAGGATAAGACTTTCGACAGAGAGAGGACGAGTGAATGAATTGAGGGAGCGGTCTGGCTCTTAAGGGGGCTTGGACTTCAGAAATGATGGATTGATTGTATTTGACCACATGGAGTACTTTTAATCCACATCGAAATTGATTCAAGAAATACAGTTGTAGCTTTTACATGTAACTCTTGCCTTGGCTTCTCAGTTCAAGCATACCTTTAATATACATACCTTTATGTGAGTCAGGAGAGGAGGGTAAAATGCGCCACAGATATCTGGCATCTATTGAAAAGAGAATTTTCAATGTTATTTTTAACCATGTTATGGACTACTTTGAAGAATATGTGGACGACTTGAAGCAATCAGCGCAGCTTACCCCAAGCATCTG